GTTTAATGACAGTTGCCATTGTGGATAAACAGACATTTGGTGACCTCCTTCAGCTACACCCGAGGCTGTTATAAAACTTCAACTATTAACTTTTCACAATACACAGGCAGAAGGACTAAATAACTGTAGTGATGGTTATAATAATAGACCAAGACATAAGCAGAAGTTGATCAATATATACCATAGTCTAAATACATGAATATAAATATTTAACCTTTTATTTTTATGTGGAATATTCACTTTTTATTGGTTTTGTTTTTATTACTTTTTTTTTTCTTTTTGTGTTTGTGTGTTTGTATCTTTAGGAGTAGATCTTATAAAGTGCCTATGGGACACACTTGTATTGTATTTAATTTTTGAGGATAGTTTACATGTAGTAATATTATAGGACAGGACCTATTGCTACTAAATAAAATCACTTACAGAATTCTGAATTTCTAAGACCTGCATTATTATCAGCTTTTTTGTCTGCTTGCATAGTGTGCTATACTTAAGGCAAGCATGATATACGCTTCATGCACACACACATTAAAATCACCAGTCACTCCTTGAAGAACTAATCTGAATTCCCATGGGAATTGTTTAAAATGATTCCAACGTTTTGGGTAGTCAAAGTGTTTTCTGAGAAGGAAATGTTCATAAAACAAAATGATAGGTTCAACATTCATATAGAAAAAAAATTGTATAATGTAAACTTGTGATATATTTTAATAATGGAGCAATTTCAATTTTTGTTTTGCCCCTCTGTTTGTGTAAACATGGCTCAATTAGATATTGGAAATGAAAATGACAAAGGACACAACTGCAATACAAAAACAAATTAAAAGGGCACTCTGAGCTGGCCCTGGACTGCAAGACTTTATTCAGAGACGCTGGTGCCCACTGGATCTAGGTAAGTTGTCAAACTATTCAAAACCTGTTTGACTGCTTACACTGTGAGGACACCCCCTGACACCACAACCATTTCAGTGTGCTGTAATGTTTCAAGTCCTTTAAAAGTTATTTTCATGAATTGTAATTTGATAATGTTTTTAATTTTGATTGGCTTCTGAACTGCTGAACCTGTTACTCATGGTCATTATTTTATATATCAGTTCAGACACTAAAAAGTATAGAAAATTTTGTTTTTAGGGTGACTGACCTTATAGGACAATTAAAGCAAATTTTGTGTAAATTTATTTAGTAGCTCTGTCTAAATTATTCCATACATTTCTCTGTCCAAGTGATTCCGCACAATTTAGATTGTGCCTCTTTCCACCTGCTACATTGCCTGGAATCGTGTATTTCTGCTGATTTTCTGGAGTACTTTCAAGCTGTTCGGTGGGAATTTTCTATGTATCTGTAAATATTCATCATTTGTCTGCTGCTGGCCACCTGATAATTGCCCTTGGCAAGTCACTCCATTTGGTCAGGGCTTTCTCTTATTCAAACTATTTGCATGTACATGAGTCCAATGTTGTCTTCATGGATGTAAAACCCATTTCTGCATTTTACAGGACTTCCATGACACAAGTTCCTTAGTGGGCCTTAAGTGCATATCTCTATTGCCCTACAATTCCAGAACATGCACTAACTGATACAGTCTCAGACCATTCCCGGACCATTGCTTTGTCATTGGGTCCAAATTGATGCTTCATACATGTTCATTGCTTGTATGGACCATTTCTTGATGAGAGAGAAAACTGTGTGGAATATAGGATAATGGTGACTATTCCATTTTGTCGTTTAGCAGTTGGAGTACATACAAGAAATAATTTGTAAATTTGTAAATAATAAATTAATAGTAGTGTGTGTCTGTCTTTATAAGCAATTTTAGTAGCATACTGTATGTTATTTTGTAGTGCCCAAAGCAGACTTTGCTGTTTGTTCTTATTTTGCAGAGAAAATGTTTTGTTTTGTATGTGTTTGTGTTTCCCTCTGTTTATCAAGGTGGTAGTGTGTGTGCGTATTTATACAGCTACTTATCTGTGTTAATGACATCTGTATGCATCAGCAGATCATTGCATCTGTGTTTGTATATACATTGCTGTGTTTGATGTGATTCCAACTGAATGTATGTGTGTTTTTTGTTTTCACTGCATCTGTGCGGCAGACCATTCATGTTTATCCTCCTCTATAACTGTGTGTCGTCTAGGATTTGAAATAAATAGTATTAATGGTGTCTGTGTGTGTGTATGTGTGTGTGTGTATATATATATATATATATATATATAATATACACACACACACACACACACTCACAATGGTTTAGTTATTATCTTATGGCTTCTCCCATATGTAAATTTCTCCATTTTGAAGTTAACATCCATGTTTACCTTCAAGCTCTGTATTGCTAAATTTCATGAGGTCTCAGCTAATCAAAAGAGATGGATGAATTGAGAAAGCTGCCTTAAAGTATTTTCTGCATTGTCTACAATCTACATACTTCTTTTTATAGCTACTAAGTATGGATGAACATTGAAAATAAACATGCCCACCTGTAAGACTAATTCGTAAAAAAATTTTTTTAAAAAACACGCTATAGTTTAGAAAGTGCATAAAACATCAGCAATATTTGCTATGCAGCTTTTTTTTTATTTTATTATTCCTTTTAGCCAGTTTATATATTTTAAGAGCATTGTTAAGCTCAATCAATTAGCATGTAATTTTTCATACGCTATCATATATCATATATAAATGTATAAACACTCTAAGAAACCAGGAATTGTAAACCATGTGTTAAGGCACAGTTTTGAAAATATTCATTTAGACGTTACTTAAAGGGGGACTGTTACATCCCAGGATTTTCAATATTATATTTACTTGTCCACTAAATTAAACAGGCATGTATTTATGGAGTATGAGAAATATCATTAAACATAGAGAATAACTAGAGAAGCATATGTTTCTATTTTTCCTCTTCATTTGAGATGTTTGCCTAAACTGAATTATATTGTGATGAAATAATCTAAATCTTTAATATTTTAAAAGAAAGTAGAGCATCACATAAAAAAATTTAAAAAAATGAACAGAAGTTAAAGGAGCACTATAGCGTTACTAATACCAATGGGTATTTGTAATATAATGTGTTCTAGCCATTTAGTTGACCGTCTCCCCCACCCCCTGAGTGCATAAAAAAGGTATTTCATTAAGTTTTTATCCCACTCCGCAGTGGTCTCTCCGTGACCCGTCCCGTCTCCATGGCTGAGATCAATGAGATCTCAGCTGCGCTACTCGAATGCTCTCTGTGAGATCATGTGAAAGAAATAGCAGAGTTTTAATCTATTTGGACCGAAGCTCCTGTAAGTGACAGAGCATTTAAACCCTGCACTGATTCATTGCCGCTCCTGCAGAATGACAATGTTTGCAGCTGCTGGCTTAAATTTACAAGGACATGGTCCGCAGACCACTTCATTGAGATTAAGTGGCCAAGGTGCCTGTAGTGTCCTTGTTAAGGCAACTTTCAATAGTGTGAGTTAGTCTGTAGTTATTATATTACCAAAAGAGGAAATGTCTGAAAGGGTTGACAATATCCTTATACATAAACATACTACACACATTTTATACAGGCAGATGTATATGTATTCAACCCCAGTCAGTGTGTCATGGACTCTCCAGTCTCGTAGTGGCGAGTATAGCCGAGTAACTTTTTTTTTAAGGCTTGGCTATTAGCATAGGAAAGTTTTAAGCCAGTCATATATGTAAATACTATATGTGTGTTTGTGTGCTCTGGTTTAGTACAGTCCTTCATCTTAACTAAACCGACGTATTCGCAGCAGCAGATACTGATACAGATGTGATAGAGATTTAGGATAGACGTTTCTCTGCAAGCCTGTGCTTGTCAGTTCTACAGAAACTCATCCAGCCCAAGATAACCCATCTACAGTGACTCACAGGCTCTGCCCTTCTCTGTTGCATCAAGTGAAATTACATGCTCCAGTACTGCAATGTAAATTGTGATTTCATCCCCTCTTGTACGTTCGCTCATTGGTCAGTTAAATTCTCTATTTTACCTTTCTCATATCATATCCGTACCCAGTGCACTATTGAGGTGATGCAGAGGCAAAGTGTCTAGAGAGTGCAACATGCAATGTATTTCCACATACCTGCTTGCTACCAAACAAGTCATGACTGCGTTCAAGCAGATGGAAAAGACATGCCGACGTATGAAGCATTCAATCTTTGCTTACAAAGATCTCATGCCTTCCCATAGCTTAGTGTAATCAAAAATCTGATTTAGTGAGCTCCTTCTGGACCAATGACATGTCACACCTGGCATAACACGGAATTTGTGTGGTCCTGAGGGTGGTATGACCGCACATAGAGAATTTGTAAATGGCAAATCCAATGGACAATAAGAGACGGCTAGCCTTTGGCATGACGTAATAAACCCTTGTTTGCTAAGCATACCGAGAAGCATGTTCAGCTGACTTGGCAGATGGGTAACATAATTTTTTAGGTTTGTTGGTCTATAATATATTATATATACGCACACTGGCACTAAGAAGCAAATGTATATAAAAAAATGTAATAAATAAAAAAAGCAGTAACCATGAAATATGATTTTATCTGAGAGCGCTAAAATATTAAATAAAGGATGTATAATGCTCTCATTTCCACTCTGTTACATTTTCACCATAAATCAACAACTGAATTACTTAGGAATTGATTAAAAAAAAAAAAAGTATGAATAAGTTTGAGCAAGTATTAAGGTGCTGTTGAATCTTTTGTATTGTTCAACCACAAGTCACCAGCAAGCAAAGACATGTTTGTAGTTTTTGGTTAGGTTTCGCCTGAAGTCGGAGTTTCTTTAAGTGTTTTTTTTTTTTCCTTTCTATACCTGTCATGGGGGAGGTGTTTGCTTAACGCAGGTTCATTCATATGTCTGCTCTGGTTTATGGAGAGTTAAGTATTGCACCTGTTGAGGTGTGTCTGTCTTAAGGCACCTGTTTCATCAGCCAATCCGCTACAGAGTTACTCAAGAGCCCACCTGTTGTTAAGAATACCTGCACACAAGTTCTCTCACATAGATCTAACAATTCATTCTACAGGGAATGTCTGTCTGTGTTTAGGCAGAGTAAGAAAAGCACACAGCACAACACAGCAGAGGTTAGAGTAACTGAAGACCAAGGAAAATGTCTAATGAACTTGAGTAAGTACTACATCCTTATGCTACTTGTGATATTCGTAACTTCATGTTATGATTTATTTTAAATGGTTAAAAATATATCCTGAAATATGTTGTGTCTTTACTTTAGTTTGTTTTTGTTTTGTTGTTTTTGCGTTGGTTTTTTTTTGTCTTTTTTTTTTATATACGGTAATTGATTTTTTTAAATTTTGTTATATAATTTGTTTACATATATGTTTGGATGTTAATTTTGTATATAATAGTTTTTATTACTAGCTAGAAAACCGCAAAACTATGTACCAGGACAAAGTTCTTATGGGGAGCTTTTGTAGATGTGCAGCATTTTGGATAAAATCCAAGTAGGTTTCTGCTGATTGCTTCACGTATAGCTATTTTCCCCATAATTTCTCCAAATTCCCTTTAAAAATATGACTATCTCTCACAAACATTGGTTACTGAATCGCCAAACTGTGCCACCTCCAACCTATTTAGTGCCCATTTATCTAACACATAAAGATTTTATATGCAATAGCCTCTCTTATATCCATAAAGAGTAAATGTATTTGCAAAGACACATTAAGTAAAATCTGAGACCGACGTGTGTGTGTGTGTGTGTGTGTGTATAAAATTTGTATTTGGCAATACAGTAAAACTTTCATTTTTTTCAGAGGTTTTTTTATAAAGTACAAACTATAACATAACACATTCTCTATTGTTTATTCCATTTGTCAGTATTAACATAAGAATACTCCCCATACACATTCTCAGTATGTTTTATTTATATACTGATTTAGGATATCTTTGTGCTGTTTCCTAAAAAAAGATTTAGCTTAGTATATATTTGCAATTCAAAGCATAACGTTTGTGTGTGGTATCAGTTATTAATACAATTACTGGATTTGGAAGAAGATATTTTGTTATAGTTTATATTATGAAATTATAATATTTCCTAGAGGAGATGATAGCAGTTTAACTCTTGCTCCCAGACAGGTGCATAAAGGCACATACTGTTGTGTGTCGCAGCTGGAGACTGTTTGCTTCTGATTGGTTGTGACATATATTTGGCATTACCACAAATGGAATTTACTGTCAATATTTAGCAACATACTATCATATAGTGCATTATTTATACTGTCTATCATAAGTTCCATATTGTGTATTGTGTTGCCACTTGAGTTTACAGTATAAATAGTAGAGGGGTATGAAGAAGTCAGATTCCTTGGGGGGAAAAAAGGGATCTACTTTTCCACGATGCATAAGAAAAGTTGTTAAAAATGCATGAAATCAAGTAAAACATTAATTCTGTATAGTCTCTACTTCTGCATTACATTGGCAATTTCTGGAGAAGGTTTGCATATAGTAGACACATTGGTCTCTGGTACTGATTCTGGTCTTTCCAAGCTCAGGCACAAAATAGGGAAAAGGCTGCTTCTGATAAAATAGATTGCTAAAGAAATGACTTGGGTTTTAAGGTATTTTTATTTGGATACGTATGAACTGAGCCAACAATTTTTACATGAATTCCAGCAATAAAAACAAATCCTAATAAAATAACAGCATAATCCACATAATTAGTGTTTTTACCGACACGCACATCTAAATCTTGGTGTGGCTTTTTGATTGTATACTTAACTCCTTTGCTTCTGAAGTTGTGTGTTCTTGAAAAAAAATATCCTCTTAAGACAAACTGGCACCATGAACACAAAAGCCAGATTCTTCCTAAAATTATATAGTTTCAGTCTAATTTCAACATAGAATAAATGGTTTCTGGCCTATTCTGATTACGAGGGCCTTTCTATTCTTTTTGTCTAGACGTAAGAATGGTACATGCACTGGTTCTTTATACTCCCAGAGATACAGATTTAGAATAAGATGTGTGTGCCACAATCATGTAAATACAATGTTAACTAAAGAAAACAGTGTGTGTGTGTTTGTTTAACCCCTTTGTGGAAAATGCTAATTAGATCCAGCTGTAATTACCCCAGGCAGCTTGAAGAATGGCCTTTTAACTACTTTATGCAACGTTATTCCTTTGTTCTTGTAAGGTGTATTGGAATAAAGACCATTACTTATGTAAATTTAAAGCAGGTATACACAACCTTAACAATGATGTTGCAAGGTGTCATTTCATGTGGTACTTCTGCTATAATTTTTATGTTTGCAATTTTTTTTGCCTAGTTTAGTGTTTGTTTGTTTTTGTTCTGTGTTTGTAAGTTTGTTTTTTTGTTGGGGTGTTTTTGTGTGTTGTTTTGTTATCTGGTACTTAAAGTAAAGAAAGTCTGTGTTCTAAAAACAGAGTAGAATTATTAGTTTTTTTGTTTTTTTTTTAATTGGGGAAAGGGTAGGATATTTTGCAAAATGTTGTAGTGTTGATGCCGTGTGTTTAGGATTATCTTGATTCATGTGCTACTGAATTCTCTTATCAAAAAGTAAATTTGATGACGTGTAAGTAACTGGTTTAGTTATTATCTTTATGGCTTCTCCCATATGTAAATTTCTCCATTTAGAAGTTATCCATGTTTATCTTCAAGCTCTGTATTGCTAAATTTTATAAGGTCTCAGCTAATCAAAGGACATGGATGAATTGAGAAAGCTGCCTTTAAAGTATTTTCTGCATTGTCTACATACTACTTTTGTCGCTACAATGTATAGATGAACATTGAAAATAAACATGCCCACCTGTAAGGCTAAATCGTACATAAATGTGCTATGGTTTAGAAACACTAAACATCAGCAATATTTGCTATGCAACTTTTTTTAATTCTATTTTTTTAACCAGTTTATACATTTTAAGAGCATTGTTAAGCTCAATCTATTTACAGGTAACTTTTCATACGCCTATCATTTAGAAGTATTGCAGTCATGTGTGTTTTAGTTCAAAACCAAGGAAGCCCTCAGCAAGATGGAGTGGAGAGAATTATATTGAAAATCTCCATTCAGTAATCCAAAGCCTGTTATGTTGAACGACCTCTGGATACAGACCATTGATTCTGTTCACTGACAGTGCAGTGCATTAGCAATTACTGCTCCGATTGCATGGACAAACACAAAGTAACCATGGCTAACAAAATGGATACAGACTCATCATGATGGTTAATATTGGGACTGCAGGTGTTATCTGAGATGTGCATATTCTGTCTAGCCAGGTTACAGTTTTAGCAGCCCACCCATTACTTTTTGTATAGGGATGGTAAATGAGGCCAAGCTTGGTACAGTTCTGGGACCCCTGTCTAACCCCTGGGCCCTATGCAACTGCCCTAGGGCGCCTCATGAATAATTATGCTATGTCCACAGAGTACTGCCAACAAACAAAGCTGGGGAATATAGGGCTTGGGAAATAATTCATTTTAGAATTGTATCTGTGATATAAATTTAAGCAGAGATTCCTCTAGTGACTGCATCATTGTAGTGACTCACTTAATTGATTTGCCTATATTTGTCACACGGTTATATCCACGCTGATGAAAGAGTGGAAAAACAATAAGGTTGTGGGTTATTTTTGTTTTTCTAGAATATTTTTTAATGTGGATATCCTTACAGTAGTGTTTGCCATTTCATACAGGACAGGATGTTTCGTAGAGTTTGTGGGCTATTGGCTGACTAGTTTAAATGTCTGTATCGGTGCTCTTAAATGTTCATTTAAAATGTGTTGGGCCATGGTATTAATTGTATTGTGCATTAAACAAAAGGGAAAACTTTGATAGGTCCTTTACAAATAAATCCAACGTTTTGAGTAGAGGATTTCAACCCATTTGTGTGGATCATTGCAAAGACAGAAAAGAAAATTGTTTATAAAAAAAGTATTGAGAATATAAGCACACAAAAATTATAAGAATGCAGACAGCTGCAGGCAGACAGGTCCACCATTTCGTGAGAGCAGTCATGCGCATTGCAAAATGGAAGTTAAACCATTTCACACTCTTTGTGGTTTTGTTTTTCTCAACCACAATGAAAACAAGCAATGAACGTGCACATATTTTGTTTGATGTGTTTTCCTACAGGAATAATGTAAACGTTCACAAAATTGTATGGGTATTCTATAAGGGTAATAGACTTGTTGGATGAATTTTTACTCTACAATATATAGGCATTTGTAGATAGATCTGAACCCAAATTATGTTCACAACCAAGTTGCAAGTGATTAAAATGTCACAAGGGTTGCTATTTGCGTGGGAAAGTAGCTCATTTCAAATCTAATCTTAGTGAAGGGGGCTCTGGGAAAATGTCACCGGCCCAGGTACTGGAATAATGCTGATTTCCAGTGATCATTTTGGGCTTTTCATTTAATAAGATCTGATGGTTTTGTTTTTTTATGTATAGTATATAAGAAAATATATGTATGTATTGTCTTTATTCTACAAACTGTACCTCCATCCAAGTATTCCTAGTTCTATTGTATCTGTGTATTTCCCAGAGTGGGCTCTAGAATCCAAGAAATTACATAACCTCTTTACTGTCCAATCTTGAAAGTCATCAATATGGGGAGCAGAGAGCCTCCTGATGTGTGGTTTGTGGTCGAAACCTTGAGTGCAAGGAGCAATTTTTTTTTTTGTTTTGCTTTGCACAAAGCGTGTTATAAAAAAACAAACAAAAGAAAAAAACCACTGTACAAGGTGAGGAATGAGAAGGCGGGACAGAGCTTAGTCTTAAAACAGCACTCCGTTCCTGGAGTCAGGGCTCATGAACAAAGTGTGACTCAGCAGCATGTACAGAGCTTGTTAATCTTCAACAGACAGGTGAGCTGATCAAGGAAGGCAACACTTGATATATGGCACGAAAGTATAATGCAAGAAGAGCGATAGTTGTCAGGTATCAGAGACATATAAAATGGTTAGACATGGAGGTGATATAGGAATTTTAGATTTAAAACCGAAAATAGCCAGCTGGCAGTTCTTCGTCTATTGTCGATCTACAACTCATGTCTAGCTAGACTGTGCCAGATAAATGCTTTGTTCATCTGGAAAGGAACTAGATTAGGGGTAGGCAACATTCGGCACTCCAAATGTTGTGGACTACATCTCCCCTGATGCTTTGCCAGCACTATGACTGTAAGAGCATTATGGGACATGTAGTCGACAGCATCTGGAGTGCTAAAGCTTGCCTACTCCTGAACTAGACTATTCCGTATGAATGAGCTTTAAGAGTGACCATGTATGTATTGTACCCTAAAGGTGACCGTTACAGCTTTGAAAACCCGCATTACTAGGGAATTTCAAAGAATTATTATTTTTTTTTTTACTTATCTACTGCAGTTTGTTTAGCGCTTCCTTGATGTAATTGCCCAGAGGTGAATCATGACATTCTCACTAATAACATTTTATGAATAATATGAAGAATTAAAGACTAATTATAGTCTTACCTTTTCATATGTATGTAACATACTCACCTTGAATATACACAAAGTGTAATTTTCTTAAAATATGTATAGGAAATAGGCAATATCTAGACTTTATTGCCCAATACTTTAAAAACATTTTTTTATTTTTTTTTAGTATTCTAATATTTTTCTTTGCATTGTTTTATTCTTGTTAGTTTGGCTTTTTTGTATCCCAGCTAAATGGTTTTAATTGTATTTGCTATGAAATGTACATACATATACATTGGTTAACTCTTCTATATTTGTGCATGCCTTTATCTGTTCCACATTTAGACTACTTATAAAGTGGACTGATTCTCAAAATGTACAATTAGTACATTTAGTCAACTTCTATATTAAAGACATGATCAACATTGTTGACAGGTCACAGTGCTGCACACCAGCCTGAGTGATAAAGTGGGATATTATTCAGTATTTCAAGCTAAGTGGAGCCCGTGACAGAGCCTATTTAAGACCGTTTCTATTCTTGTTGCTAAAGTAACTGAGACAAAAGGTGCTACACCCAGCTTGGCAGGTAATAAAACTTGCTTTTTGTGAGTAGCAGCCCACCTACAATACATTCAGGTAGTACACAGCCTCAGCATTCAGTTTCGCCATCAATCATAAATCCCCCTATGTTTTACTGGTCACAATCAAGAGCAATGATTATTTGACAATGGGACCAAAGACTACTAATTACAAAATAATGGACTGTCTCCCTTGGGAATACCATGTACTAACAGCAGTAACCAGACTGATGAACAGCAGGCCCGTCTGGCTATACAATTAGTATATAATTGTGTGTTGTACATTTATAGGTCACTCATGAGAAGACCTTAATTAAAAAGTGAATGATATATTGTATGACACTTTAACTTGCATAAAAAAGGAGTATGCCATTTCTCAGCTTTTGTTGACATGCAATTACCACATCCTTCGTTCCAAACATGGCAGTGAAATTCATTTTTCCTGATATACCATTTTAGGGCTATATGTTTACAATTGCATTCTTGCCAAAAAAGTACTGACTATAAGATGGATCATCTTAACTGCTGATTGTTCCAGTTCTAAAAACTTTGTCTTGTCATTGCTTTTTATAAATAACCCTCTTAAGTGCACTAAGTATAGAATATTTGATGCCTATTGAAATCTCTGGGTTGACTCAGCCTTTTAACAATAATAGGAGAACCTCTTAAGCTGGCTGATAACCTGTTCACAGTAAGACCTAATTTAAAATCTAGATAACTCTACATCAATCAAAAATTCCCAACCGCATTTTATCAAGAACATTATGCATGGAAGGAAAATGTCTTCTAATATTTCAGGACCTTTCTAAAACTGTTCTGGACTAAGTCATTAAAAAAACAAAGGACACAGAATCCACTTCTCAACACATTTTATTTTGTATTTTATCATACATGAGATTGCACTTTCATTATTAAAATGTTTCACTCTTTGAGTATGGAAATGGTTAACTCATCCAAAAACACATTCCTTGCCCTGCATTATGGCCTTAAAACCGATAAAGGTAGATAGGATTATACAAACATATTATTTCTCAATAGCTTTAGCTTTCACATATTGGAAACTGTTTTAATTATTTTTTTTTCCTGGAGAACAAAAGCAGAGAGTTAGGAGCGGTTAAAAGCAAAGAAAGGCCAGCTTGCCACAGTCTATAGAGTAAACGTAAGGAGAATCTGAATGGAAGAAGGAGGAAAGGTATTGAAAGAACGTTGTCAGGTGCCTTTCCACTTGGGTGAACTTGTAACCTCCATGAGCTAGGCAGGCTAATAAGAGAAGGCAGTATTTGTATTTCTTTGAATGCAGGGTTTTGGATATAGTTATTATTTCTTCTGTGCTCCACATACCTAAGAGTTTGACGTATAGGTTTATAGTAAGGGATTTACGATACCGGGAGACCTGTATAATGTTTGATTACTTTTATTTACAGCTCTTCAGCAGTGCGTAAACAAACCAAACCGTAATGAATTTTAAAAGAAAGTGAACATAATTTTAATTTACACCAGCAATATCTGTCTGAATTATTAAATGGACACAATTTTGTGTCTTTTTTTTGTTTGTTTGTTTTTTTCTTCAGTAAATATTTTCTGTGAAATTTTAAGCCCTTGATGTATTTGTAGGTTTGTCTGTGGTGCATTCAAAAGTCACCAGACAAAGACCCATGTGAATGTCTTAATATCTTCATATGTATGTGTGTGTGTAATCTTTGAGGTGTTTTTTTGTTTGTTTGTTTTCGTCAATGCTGAGCAGTTTACTGAATACTGTATTCATCTGTTTTACAGAACCAATGCCTTAATTCACATTTTTTTTTATATTTACATTGTCCACAGCTACCGACCAGTTATGCTCCTGCAGAATGACTGCATCAGTTTCCAGAAGTACTCTTCCTACACCAATGAGGAGGAAGCCTGGTCAAAATATTTAGAGAATCCCATGACTGCAGCTAGCAAAGCCATGATGAGAGCAAATGGAGATGAGGATGGTGTAACTGCATTGAGCTTTCTCTACGACTATTATAGGGTAACTATTCTGTGTTCAACATTAGATTGGAAGACTTATTCCTGAATAATGATTAATTCAGATTACAGACATATTATTTTACATTACATTGGAAGAAATATGACCTTGAAGAGTTCACCTCACAGTACATTAACGTCTGGCATTTTCACCTTTACCTTAATAAATACAAACATTATTAAAAATAAATATAGGGTTTCCTTCATTAAAATTGGGTATATCTGAACATTTCAGACATGCTTCATATATTGTGTCCCATATCTACAATGAGGCCGTCCTTCTGTTACAGGAACTGGTGAAGGTATCTGCTGTAGTTTTAGATTTCAACCACAGTATTTTTTATTTAATCTTTATATTTTAGGTCCCAAAAGAAAAGCGAATTATTTCTCCAGGTTCAACAGGACGCTGTGAGCAAGTGAAAAGGTGGGTTAATTTAACAGCTCCTTGAGATCGTTTAAAATATATGTGAACATTTATTTAAAAAAAAAAAAAAAAAATTAACTCTATTTTTTTCCCTTTATTTTAGGAATTGTGTTGAATATGAAACTGACATTTCATCTTTTGAAAATTCAAACCAGCTCATGAAATTTATTTCTGATAATACATCCACTACTCAAGACTACACAGAGACAAATAAAAAAAACAGTTACTTATCTCTAGACTGTCTTATAAACCCCAGCAAAATGACTTTATCACAGAGCAACAGCAAGCTAGACAACAATAACCATGAAGATTTCATGGCAACGTCTTGTGAGGTGTACGAAAAAAACCCATTGAACTCACTCTTCGAACCATTACAAGTAGCAACATCACAACAAAGATGGCAACCAGACAGCACATTCAAAGAAGACACTCCCACAGAGGTAGAATAGTTTTCAAAATTCAAAGCATCAGCAGTACATAAAGATTTTTTTTTAATAAACATTTAGGTGTTTCTCCTCCAATAACATTCCTCTGTTTTCTTGGCAGCCAATGATATTCAGTGAAATTCTAAGGAGTCAATCCGAATCCACTTGCTCTGAAGATTATCTCCCAGCAGAAGCAAATTGGTGAGCATCTTTAAGTGGAGAATGGCTAATAAGCTAAAATGGGCAATGCAAAATCTATTTACAACTCTACATCATGTAGAGCAACCATTGTCTATGGATACAGATAAATAGATATAGCTTTACTAATTGATTATTTAGCTTTTGCTTAACTATACCAACAAATGTATATGTTAATGCATTGACATTCTAGGTAAACATTGGAGTTGTTCCCCAATTTTTGTTGATCTGTAGTCCTGGTACCTTTCCTTATTTAATGACAATTCTTGTCCAAGTTACAATTATTTGATTTGCTAAACTCTCCATAGGACCTTTTATATTATTTTTTTTTTTTTTACATATGTTTTATTTATTCATGGAAGTAGGGCATTCTGGAATGCTGTGCTTAGTAAAACAAAGTTTCACTATAACTGATTTAGATGCCATTGTCGGTTATACCACATATAGACATATTGTGGATCATCCATGACCAGTTCATGTACTACATGCGGAAATTCAGCTTCAACAGTAAATCAAAGTATTAATTGATGCTGTTTTTAACACTGCTTTTGTCCCCTGCTATCTTTGCAGTGACTTTGAATATACACTGGAATCCCCTAAAGCTATTCAAGTGAAATCTGGAGATTCGCCAATGGCCTATCTCAACAAAGGACAGTTTTATCCTGTCAACCTCCGAACTGCAGAGATCAGAAAATGTTCGCAACACTCTTCCAACAAAGTAAAGGTATTTGCAATGTTTCCTATAAAATGAAACCTATTCTTTGTACTCTATTTAGTCATTGTGGTCTGACAATAAGCAAGTTTTTGAAAAGTCAGAGCATGTGCACTTATTAAGGTGGGGCAAAACTGAGTTTAGACAACTATAGGGTGTGTTGCTGTACATGTTACAATAAGCCTGAATTGTACAGAATTTGGCAAATAAAAGCTCTGGCACATCTTTAACTGAACTTTTAAGTGTCCATCCTATATACCTGAAAACCAGTATTTGAAGTTCAACTATTTATGTTTAAAGGAGCATCATCAAACCTCGAAACAGTTAATGACTCACAGTCGGTCAACACAACAAGATCAATTAGGAATTTTGTGTATATAGAATCACACATTGAACAAACTCTCGTATAAAAGTGACCTACTGGATTTAACAAATGTAGCTAATTCTGAAAGTTTAGCAAAATTATATGACTCATTGAAAATACAAATCTTATTTTTCAGGGCAAATAAAATGAAAAGTGTACCAGTTCTGTTTGCATATCATTATATGTCTGCCCTGATAAACTACCTCCTATTCAGTTTTTGTAAAAAGACTGTGGCTGAATAGAAGTCACTTTTCATGTGTACATAGCAAGCTATTTACGTTTTCCTATTTGAATTAGGATTGGATTGATAGAGAACCTTGTGCTTACTCTCCCATAATGTGCCTTTTTACAGTGGGATGTGTGCATTGGAGTAGTATTCAGAGAATCCTTATTTTATTTTTATTTATTTTTTTGTATGTATGTTCACCTATAATATGTCAAACTAATTCATAAAGGTGTCAAGTATTTTCATTCTGAGCATGTGCTAAGGCAGAGATTTATATGATTTCCTTTGGATGAGCAATCTGTGGGACATTGATACTTATTTGTTTCAAAATCATCTCTCAGTATTTACCAGATTATAAGCAAATTTAAGTTTGTTTTTTTAAAGCAGCTTACAATCAATGTTGAAAACAGGAAACGGTCATATTTGTGGTCTTACAATGTAATGTGGTCCTCAATGTCAATAACTTAATCTTGTATTCTGTATTAATATGCAAATGTTATTGGATACTTCTAATCTCAAAGTTGGGCATTCCATAACTCCTCTAACTATGGTTCATTGCCAAACCGTACAGGTTGTTATACTTAGCTTCTACCTTTCCATTCTTTAGAGTGTTGTGATGGTGGTCTTTGACAATGAAAAAAACCCAGAAGAACAGCTGAAACGTTGGAATCATTGGCATTCAAGACAACCAACTGCCAAGCAAAGGGTCATTGATGTTGGTATGTTCAGCTATATTTGATACATCAAATTGTCTTACAACATACATATTGATATATCTTATATTCTTTTCTTAAGCTGATGAGCAATGATCTGTAGATATACTGCCTTTTCAAGCTTTCTTAACGTTCTCCTATCAGCTTCAGAAAACATGATATTATTTTAGTTTGTTTTATTACCTAATAGGTAGTTAAATTATGTAGCTTGTTCTTTCCTAGATAGAAACATAGCACTATATCCTTCTGTGGTTTTACATGTGAGCATATTTCTTACATTTTGTGAATGTGCCTTATAGCTGACTACAAAGAAAATTGTAACACCGTCGAAAGCATCGAGGAAGTGGCGTACAATGCATTATCTTTTGTGTGGAACATCAATGAAGAAGCAAAGGTATGAATAACTGAGAACCTGCCTGATCTGTTAGCTGTTTTTACTGCTTAATTAGAGATTTCAAACTTAAGTCAAAAACACAGGTAATCCTGACTACCTTAGCAACACTACACACAACTAACCTTATTTGAGGATTGTGTCACACAACTGTTGCTCACTTAACACTTCTATCTACATAAAGAAAAACACTTCAAAGGGAAACTTGCAGTGACATCTTAAACCTAACTGACCTTGTGTATGAGGAAAAAAACACACTTTGGAACAATGCGTTGCCTAGATGAAATCCGAGATTAGTACTTGGCAGAGGGAGAAACTGTTGGGACACTTTCCATGTAACCATTGTTCCCAGGAGAATATAGGATAATTTAGGGTGGGTTCACTGCCTGAGGTTATTTTTAAATGTTAAAATCTCTAGGGATTAAATCAATGGAGGGAAGCCAGCAGCAGTTAGAAATGCTGACATGGAAACCGTTAAGTTCATTGACATTGTTTGGCATATGCTTGGTTTCCGTGATGCAGTTTAGAAAGAGACCATTTAGTGAGAGTTGTTGTTGTGGGTGTGTGTGGTGTTTTTTTTTTTTCAGTCTTTCTAGTAACTATCATACACCTATCCACACTATAGAACATAGACAGACATTATTTTAAACAATGTTTAATCACCCGCATTAAGTCATTTTTAGCTTAGCTAAGATGAACCATGTTCCCTTAGCTTATGGAGTCGGCAATACTGGTAAATTGTAAAATAATGATGGTCAATCAGATAATATGGCAACAAAGCAAACTTAGTAAGTAAATCTGAAATTTTGTAGAGATCACCGGAAAATCTGCAATCACTGCAGATTTCGAACTTCATTTGTTTATCACCCTAATTACTCATAGAGGGGAACAGTTGCTTTTTACTTAAAGTTATTGCTCTTCTATGATATACATTGTGCTCTGTTTTTGTTTGTTTGTTTTACATTACTTTATATGTTGAGTTAGAGAAATTTAAATGTATAACAATGGGTACATGACTCTATGTGAAACCATACATCTTTCTGTTTTCAGATATTCATTGGTATCAACTGTCTGAGCACAGACTTTTCTTCTCAAAAGGGTGTGAAGGGTGTGCCTTTAAATCTCCAGATTGATACCTATGACTACGACACTGGAGTAAAAAGGCTCATTCATCGCGCTGTCTGCCAGATCAAAATATTCTGTGATAAGGTATGACTATGAAAGATTCTGTTTTCTTTCACAAAACAGTAGGAAAAAGTGTTTTGTGTGTATAGTATAAATGTAGTAGAATGTTGGTTGTCAAATATATAGTTTATTCATTTACTAAATTTTTTATTTTTACAGGGTGCAGAACGAAAGATGAGGGATGAAGAACGCAAACAGTTTAGGCGAAAAGGAAAGTGTACAGATCCTAGCAGCAAAGGTATGAGTTAGAAATATCTAAATTTCTATCTTTTTTCTAAAACATGTAAACACACATGTACTAACAAATTATAAGATTGTGCAATGTCACTCATATCTGTGATCACCTAGATGTGCCTGTTTGTATTTGCTGTTTTGTTAGTGGATTGAGGTGATGGGTCTCATGGAGTGCATAAATTGAGTTGAGATTAACAGATATTCTTTGTCAAGCCAAGTGTGTTGTGTGCTTTCCTGCTTTGTTTTAGAATATCTAAAAGAGGTTACTTCTGCACAGTATTAACATGTGAACTATTTATTTTCGATCTAATAGTGATTTTCTTTTTTTAATCCCCCCTCCTCACTTAGACATAAAGACCCCAGTGCTCCCAGGTTACAGGGGGACAGACATCACTTATCTGAGACCGGTGACAGATATGGAATCTCAGCCTGTTTTGTTCATCCCCAACGTCCATTTTTCCAATCTACAAAGATGTGGGATAGTAAGTATATTGTTTTAAAGTATATTTCAATATTTGTTTTGCAATAAAACAAAATAACACCTTCCACCTATCTAGCTGTTTAAAATGTTAATGATTAAAACAAAGCACTTGGCAAAATTACCTGTTGTGTATACTCCATTTTTGAAAATACCTGTCGTGTGTGTGTGTGTGTGTGTATGTATGTGTGTGTGTATGTATATAGAGAGAGAGAGAGAGTCCCGCTCACCATTCATGTAATAATAAAATACATGTGTTTTTATGAATGTGTGTGTGTGTGTGTGTATATATATATATATATATATATATATATATATATATATATATATATACACACACACACACACATACATAGTTTGTGCATTTGCTCTATTCTGCAACCCAATCATTAATTTTTTTTTATATTTGTTTTAATTTTTATTCAAACTGTTTCCAAGGGGAAACAAAAGTCATGTTTTGCTGGTTGAACAGCAGCTGCAGGAATCTGACAAGACAAACATGTCTTTCATTTAAAGGATTTAGCTCTAAGGCGTCCAGGACTAGTGACAATACTTGCCCTTTTAAACACAGACACCATGGAAGCTGTATAGAATGTACTTTACACATATCATTATTTTAGCATTTGTGGAATTGATCTGATTTTTTTTTTTTTTTTCTTTAAGGTACTTCCTGCTATTACAGATAATAACGACAGGTAAGATTTGTGGAAATGTAAATTATGTTTATGAAATGCACTACACGGATGTATTTGAGATTTCCAAAGAATGTTTTCAGGCTATAAACATGTCATCTAGAAATTATTGTAAACATTGAGCACAAGATATAAGTTAGATATTCTATTTGCTTTTTACATGTCTTGGGTTAGTTCTGTCCAATCTGAATACTATTGGTCTGTTGACATGCTAGGTTTCCAAGCAAACACATAGTTTTCATCATGGCCTTGCTTAGGGATTACTTGATTAAATTACTTTTTTTTTTTTAACCTTTTTGCCATTTTGGTGCATCTCTGTAGCAGAGTACATAAGTGCAGTTTCTACCCTAAAAAGCTATTAAGCTTTTGGAAAGAGAGAAATTGATTTTTATATTGTTGTCACAAAGAACACGGAATCAGGCAAGGATCTACAACTTGAGAGGTAGCATTCTTGAAATTTTACCGCCATATGTAGAATTATTCAGACTTTGTGATAAAAACTTCCATTTTGAAAAACATCATACCTCTTATAGGAAATTTAAAAAAAGAAAAAGTGTAACACAGCATTCTCCCCAATACTTTTTAATATGTATTTCAGATGAGCAGGCATTATTAAAGATTATAAAAACTTTGTCCATTTATATCAAGTTCTTCTATGTTTCCAGGTTGGCAATGAAGAGAAGTTGCTCTTCATTTACAGAAGGGTTTGATGTGCCACCATCCAAGAAGCTGCAAAATGAAAGTTCTCCAAGAGGTAACATCTCATCTTATATTTCTAGAAGAATTCTACAAAATGCATCCTGCATAATTTTCCTATAGGAAATAATCTATTTACAAAGTTACTTAGTGGTATAGCCTAAGTAAGATTCAAGTCCAAGCTAATCCTTTCACACATCTGTTTCTGAGGCTGGGACCTTTCCAAATTAATTTAAGGAACAATTTAAAATAAAGAATTCTCTAAACAATAATGTAAATAAAGCTGGTAACTTGTTTTCAGGAATTAGTTTTACTTTCTAAATTGGAGATTCCTCTAAAATAAGTCAAGTAGACTTTGGGTATTCTATATATTTATCTTCAAAGCTTGATTATGGTATATTGAGTTTTACTAAATTTGTACTTTTTTTTCTTTCTTTCTTTCAGTATTATTATATGTAAGAAGGGATTCAGAAGAAGTGTTCGATGCCCTAATGTTAAAGACCCCTGACCTCAGTGGTTTAAGGAATGCGGTAAGTTGATGGCATCTTTCTAGCAGTTTTTATTTAGGTTCTATGAAATGTACAATGACTATGATTGTCTGCCATAAAGAGTGTGGAAGAACATCACAGAAGTTGTACTTCATGAAAAACTCTAGATAACATCTAGAATATCTGTTTGACTTTTTGATTTGCTTACCTGTTTTGGCAGTTAATGTAAACCTTGGGCCTGGCTATTTCTTACAGTATAAGACCTACCGTACTTGAAATAATGTGATGCAAATTACTACAATCAGTATATTAATTAAGGGAATGGAACCATCCCATTGTGATGGGATTTTAAACCTTTGAAGAATTAGGCTCAAAGTACGACTTTGATGTGCCCACTGATAGAAAGCGGTGAAAGCTAACAAATGCTTGTGTGTGTTTTGTAGTTGTCTATAATTTGATTCAAGTACATGGTTAAATGCAATGCTACATTTCATACTAACGTGTAACAACACATTTGACAGCTCTCAGAAAAATATGGTTTACCAGAAGAAAGGATCTCCAGAGTCTATAAGAAGTGTAAACGAGGGTAAGTACTATATGCTAAATATTCAATATGTACATATATAATCCAAAAAGCTGCATCAATCAAATCCCTTTCTTATTTAACATAGTTAGTATGAGTAAATAAAATTGTATTTCCCCCATGTTAAATTAATATGGAAATTTACAAAAACAAATGACAGCCAATTTGAAGAGAAAACCAGTATTGGTGATCTAATTTCAAAACGATCACTGTGGTAAAGTCGTGGTGCCTGTTTGGCCTTTAGAAAATAATAAAAATCTATAAATATACTCATTCTGTTGAAAATAATGATACAATCAGTTCTGCAAGCTCGTTGACTTTGTGAAAGAACAGCTAATGCACTGTTGTTACTGGCACTTGTCCAGATATGTCCCTCCCTAAGAGATGAATTGATGGCTGGCTGCATTACACAATAATCTTTGCAAAACAAGTCACGCATCTCAAAAAAGATGTAGAAAATAAACCGATTTAGTCTCAATTGTGCACTAGTGACAGTGTTTGAATATTTACTTTTTTGAATCTCTTTTATGTTGGGTTTGCTAAACTGGGTGATCTCGGTCTTTATTGTTAATACTGAATATTTATTTTTCTCTTTAAAGAATATTGGTTAATATGGACAACAATATCATCGAGCATTACAGCAACCATGTGGCTTTTCTGCTGGACTTTACGGAAATAGAAGGATGCATACAAGTGACACTTAAGGAAATCTAGATGTAAAATCACTGGACCGTGTACAAATCAAACACTCCTGAGCCAGGAGATGAGACTCGGTTAAGCAGACCACACCACTCCGTTCTTGCACTTGGCACAAGTTTGAAGAAAACATATCAACAAAGTATTTTGAACCTTCAACTTTCATGGATTGTATTGTGGGTCTTTGCCATGAACGAAGATCGCTCTGTCCAGAAGGGTCTTTTATAAAGCTTTGAATTATTTTTATTTTTTTTTGTCTTCTGACAATTGTGGACTTTTGCCCTGCATTGCAAACCGAAATGTTACAGTTGCAATTTCTGCAACCATACTGCTCTGACTATCTATGTCCTTGCTTTTACCTTTATGGATATACCATAACTTTTACCTCCTATTATTGCATCACACAACCGTATAAGAGGAAACCCCTGTTTCAAAAATATTTATGAAGCCTATAAACAAAAAATATATTAAAAGAAGAACTCTACATCACAGTCTGGTTCAGGAATCTTTCCAAGGGTACATAGATATTCTAACCAATTATCCACTTTAGTAACATGCATTTGGAGAGGGCTGAGTTATCATAACCCCTTTTATTTCTTTAATGCAGCTATACCATATGGTATACCTCTTACCCAGGCCAGTTATGAGCATGTGCACTAACTAATGTACACTAGAACAGTAATTTTCCCCTGACTTTGTCCTTCTATATAGTACCAAAGAGAACGGACAACTGTGATGTAAAAATTTTAAATATTTAGCTGCTATTTTACTGACTGCCCCAGAATTCAAAATTAAATATGTGCATCAGAATTTGTTTAACGGTTCTACATTGCAATATAATCTGAGACAATTCTGCAGAAAATGTAAAAACTGTCTCTCCACCCATCTTTGTGTGATAAAGTTTAAAATCGGGATTACGAAGTTCTAGATATTTATATTTTGTCCTACTTCTTGCCATGCCTGAAAAACATGTACTCGTTTTTCAGCACACATCACTTTTTCTACAACACGACTGAAACATTTATCTTGTTTCAAACAGCATTGTCATTTTCTATCAAAAATTTTCAACAAGCACGGGTTGTGTTTTAGACGCACATTTGTTTATTTAAACAGCTGCCAGTTTTGTCTGAAAAGGCCCATCGAAGTGAAACAAAAAAGTTAGTTTTATACATTTCTGTTTTTAATATCTTATTTTAAATATGTTTTTTGTAAATATTGAGATTTTTTTTGTATGTGTTTTAATATGCAAATAATTTTTTGTTCATTTAAAAAAAAAAGTTGTTCACATTTCTGTGTACTTTTATTTTTTTTCTAGGGTATTGTAGGAAATGTGTGGGTGCGTATTAAGGGTGTGTATTGAATAGGGAAAAAGTATCCACTAAATCTGCTCTGTTCATTACAAGCAGAGTAGGATTAAGGACCTATTTTTAGACTTTATGTTGAAATATACAATTTTCACTTCTCTAGCAATGAAAAAGTATATTGTATTCTCGCCACTGAGCTTCAAAAGTTATAAGTTTGTGTGAGAGGTGTGCAGCATGACAAATGTGTGTTTTCCTAAAATGTGTGTTTTATCCTGAAATTTGAAAAAGACATGGTGCACAAATACTTGAGTAAATAGCAGAACCTTAAATAGTTAAAGGATCGCTATAGGGTCAGGAACACAAACATGTATTCCTGACCCTATAGTGTTAAAACCACCATCTAAGCCGCCTGGGCCCCTCATGCCTCCCTAAATATAGCAAAAGCTTACTTGTATTCAAGCCTGAAGCTGTAGCTCTGCATGCTGTTTGCCTCAGAATAAGCAAACTGTCTGCTGACATCATCACAAGTGCTGGCCTGATCCAATCACAGTGCTTCCCCATAGGATTGGCTGAGACTGACAAAGAGGCAGATCGGGGCAGAGCCAGCATGATTCAAACACAGCCCTGGCCAATCAGCATCTCCTCATAGAGATGAATGGAATCAATGAATCTCTATGAGGAAAGTTCAGTGTCTGCATGAAGAGGGAGGAGACACTGAATGTTTGGATGCAGTTTAGGCAGTTTAGGCAGAAGTTATCACTAGGCTGTAATGTAAACACTGCATTTTCTCTGAAAAGACAGTGTTTACAGCAAAAAGCCTGAAGGTAATGATTCTACTCACCAGAACAAATTCAATAAACTGTAGTTGTTCTGGTGACTATAGTGTCCCTTTAATGTTGTACTTACAGCAAGGTGTTTTACAGTCTAACCATAACTATACATAAATGTGGGATGCTGTGTGATTAAAATGAAATAAATAAATTGAACACCGTCAATATAACCTTTACTAGAACACAAAACAAAAACCTGTAAATCTGTAAGGAACATGATTAGCACAAAGTGAATATTACATTTTGTTTCCTGCACAACACATATGTCATACACTGCTTTGTAGATGACCGTGACAAGATAAAGTTTATTGCATTATTATCTAAACAAAGTAGAAATGCAGTTTACGGGTTGAACCTGACTTTTTTCTTTTCTACCAGTCATGGAAATTCTGACCTTACCAGTGTTTTTGATATGGAAAAGCAGTTACCACAAGAAGGAAAGCTTAAAAACTATTCTAGTTTTTCTTTTTGCTTGGAGGTTTTTTTCTACTGCTTTTGTGGGTTTTTAGATTTATAATTTTAATAAATGTTCCAATCATAGGATGAAAGCTGTGGCAATCACCACTCTCCACCAAAACAATGCTTCTCATAGAGATGCATTAAATCCAGTGTTCAACTATGAGGAACATTAGTTGCATTTTGCATCATCATCATTGTATGCGTAATGATGCCAAATGTGAAAACCTTCAAAAATCAGAGGTCTTAAGTGAGCGAGCTCCTCTAGTTGCTGTCAATTTGACAGCCACAAGGACATGGCTTATTCCCCACTTTGCATTGCCAAACAAAAGGAATAGGATCTATGTATTATATCCACTACATTAAGATTAAGTGACCTTTAACTGCCTGTATGGTTTTATAACAGCTCTGTCGGGTCTTTAATATTTTACTTGATTTGCTGAGTCACTGTTACTGCTATTCTCGGCCTTGCCTCCAGTTACCAATATAGACATTGTACAGGAAGCCAGTTGGCTAACTTCACTTGGAATAAACCACCTTGTCTGTTTGCTTTATAACCCAAATCCATCTCTTTCACAAACACATGGTCAGCTAACGTGTCATTGTTAACGTTTACTTATTGGTACACTTTTTTTAAAACCTCACTTAGCGACCCATGAAAATTTAAGAACCATGAGCACTATGGTAACCTCTCCCAGCCAACACAATGGGCCCGCATACAGAGTTTCCATGAGGTTAAAAGGTCATGGTGCCTGCAGTCTATATGTACAGGCTATGAAACGCTGCAAATACAGTGTTTAAGCCCTCAGCTACCAGAAGTATAACTCTACCTCAGCTCATATCATCAGCCAAGAGTTCTGATTGGGTAATATGAATTCTGTACACATTTGGCATCAGATTCTAGCATGCTGGAGCCTGACAGCCAATGGTGATATGGCCACCCTCCGGCGATGTCCTGCACTCCCTCCCCTTACGGAGGGGAGAGTGATGATCATGCTGCACGGAGAATGTGGCCTCAGTGCTAAATCAAGGTGAACATTATTTTTATTGTTTTAATGATGGCTGGGTGGGCAGTGTGAGCTGAGTGGGGCAGCAGGAAGGAACAACACAGCAAGGTTTATTCTAACCAAAACCAGTGTTTGATGAAAACACAGTTTTGTTTTGTTTGGAAGAACCCTTTAAGATTCATCTCCTGTGTAATGAATACTGTTGGGTTAAATAAAATGTTAACTTACAAAATCTTACAGGAATGTTTATGGAAGTGCATGGTTATTAGCTAAAGTCTGAATTGCTGGGGATTGACACCTAAATCGCCAAACTAAGTAAAGTTTATATGGACAATTTTCCAGATGGACAGTTAATGCCTAAATTAAATTTTGCAAATTTGGATGTGAACTCACTACAAATTTTTTTTTTTTTTTGTCATTAAACTGCCCAATCCCTTGCACCTTTTAATGTTAACACCACAATATATGTTTTTAATGTGGTGTTATATGCATGTGTGCTGCACTGTATATTATAGCTAAACGGGTTGTATCAAGATGGACCTCCCACATAAATAGAAATGAATGTAGGCAACAAACTTCCAGACTGACTTTTTTTTCCCACATGACCATCTTTCAGTACAAGTGAAGAAAGACCACTAGTATGGGAGGGCTAGCAAAAATATTGTAGACTGCAGCCCTAACCCATTCTTCTGAACATCAAAACAGTTTGGTTGACTGTTTGCATAGTTATACAGAAATGACTCTGCTACAGGCTCTTGAATTTGTTATTACATTTGTAATGTGAAAGGACCACTATAGTGTTAGGAATACAAAGCTGTAAATTGTTAAAAAAAAAAACAAACCTTTAAACAATTACTTGAATCCAGCACCAATGTCCCTTGGCATGAGATCAGTCCTCCTCCTCCAACATGAGAGCGATCTCAAATGCGTGGCGAGTACTCAACAAGCTTTAGGCCTTTCCAATAGGAAAGCAATGAATCAATGTTGGGCAATGTTGGGCATTGAGTAAGGATGTTCAGCGTCGTTTCACGGAGTCAAACTATGTGAAACTGCAAGAAGTGCCTCTAGTGTCTGTCCGAATAGACAGCCACTGGAGGCAGTTTTAACCTTGCAGTAAATACATTGCACTTTCTCTAAAACTGCAATGTTTTACATTGTAGTGTTAAGGGAACATGTACACTGCACACAGATTACATCTATGAGATGAAATGGTCTGGGTGCCTATAGTGTCCCTTTAATTATTTTAGTATATTGAATAGGAGACATTAATTTCCACTAACTTTTGGCAGCATTATCTTTTTTTCACACCAGTCAACAAGAGCAGGATATTAACTTTCTTGCTCAGTGGAAGAAAGCAGATAGTACATATATTTGTTGTATGCAAAGTTTACTAGCCTGTTGGCAGCAGGGTCGGCCTTGCCAGAAGTCATAGTAGGTATATTCCTGCATACAAATGCTTACAGAACACTAGTCTAGTAATAATTAATTATTGCTTTGCAGTTGGAGTGCACATTTGCAGATGACACAATTACATAGATCTCATATCACAGGACTCCTGTTTCTTGAAAGGTCATTTTGTACGGTGGAATAAATGTCAGTATCTCTAGGAGAGAGATGGTATAAAAAGATCATCTATAAAGGAATTGGAACTCATTCTTGTGCTACAAACACAGTATATTCAACATGGGTGGGGGGCGGAGCCAACTGCAGATCGAGCCGGACCCACCCTGTGGGAGCTCCAGAACGATAGCCCTGCTAACGGCTGCAATCGGTCGTGAAAACCTGCAGCTGGTGCCCAGGTTGAGAACTAACCTGCACCTCACACGATGGGGAAACGCTCCAAAAAACTCTGGGCCGAAAGGAGCCCGGGAACCCGAGATATCGGCATGTTCTGACGGCAACAAGAGTACTACATTTGAGGGGTACCAACTGACATTTTATAGGGACATATCTCGCCATACCATCGCTTGGCGGCGGTCACGCCGCCAACTCACCCAGCACCTCCAGGAAAGCGAAGTGCCATATAAATGGGGCATACGCAAGCTGACAGTTGAAAGAGGGGGCAAGATACACTCACTCACCTATCTGAGTCACACCGTTTCCTACGGGAACTGGGACTGCCCGAAAGCGCCTTCCCATTGCCGCAACAGCCCTTTTGGTCAGTGGACTGGATTACTCCATTTGTCCCAAGAGAGACCGAAAGAGGATCCCGCGACCCACCACTGTGAAGAGGACTGACACATCACATCATCCAGCCCACCATACAAGCTCCATGCGAGCTCACTTCTCTCTCTGGGTGTTAGCATGGACACTAAATATTGTTTCATGGTTTTTATAATTTTAATTTAATTTGAATTGGCTCCGTTAGTAGTAGCCGCATCAGTTCTGAAGAGTTGTATACCCCCCACTCACCTATAATGCATAAGACGGCCAGCAGTTCCCCCCAACAGGTAGACGCTGCGTGATACAGGCTGACAGCAACTGCTTTTAATATTAATACAAATAATTGTCAATGACAGCAGATTGAGAACGAGAAGGCAGATATGACCACAGCAGAAATGTCATAGTTACCACCAGCACCCCTCTTCCCAACCCCCCCCCCACTAACCCAGAAGACCTTAGGCTTTAAATACCCTTTGATGATGGTTGACTACCCTTTCTGTACTGTACAAGTGAGATTAACATTTAT